CAACAAAGCCCCCTCCTTTGACAAGCGCAGTCTGCTCTGATTGGCCAGCTGACCCAGCGCATTGTGATTGGCCGAACACCACAAGCGCGCATCAGAAATGTAACATCCCTTACCATAAGCGCGAGCTTCAGCTTTCAAAGTAAATATCAAGACGGTTAATAATGTCGTTAGTTTTACCATCAGTTCAAGCCGAAAGGGCAACAGAGTCGCGTGACAGACACAGTGATGATGCAGTACACAAGCCGCGGTTAAGACAGCTGACGTGCTATGATTTCTGACAGGCAGTTCACTCTCCTGTGATGTGACCCTGTTCCCCTCACACACACACGACGCGTTACTCTACGCTGCGCAAAACTCTGCATTTGAACAGTCAATAGCAAATACTTAAACTAATAACAAAACATACTTCCAGTCGCTGATTCAGAAGCGCCAGATTGTCATAGCAAAGTCAGAAATGACCCTTTTTTTTTTTTTAAAATAGCCTTTGCGCACAGTCAGCCTCGTACTCCATAAAATGTGTTGCACAAGTTCGAACATCTGGGTTGTGCTGTTCTTCTCTGATCTTTTTGGTCAAGCTTCGAGTGTCAACCCCTGATTTCACAGGAACATTAGCATTAATTCCAAAACCCAATCACTTACTTTATAATGCTTAAATCAAAACTAATTCTTGGTTAAGAAGAACTTGCACTGACTGACCTTCAAGCCCAGGGATGCCTTGCTCTCGGAGCCACTGGTCCAGAGACTTGGCTGAGCTCCAGTGACTGGGATTCTCAGAGAGCTCCCCAACAATAAGAGCAGCGGCATGGATTTTGGAAGACTCAAACCACTAGACCACAAAGAGAAATATTTAGAACACATTATACCAGTAGTATTAGAACAATCTCCTTTAGAAGAAATATAACATATTAAAAGTGTATGTGGATACAAGAAAGTAAAAACACCTTGCTGAGTCCAAACTCTCCATTTTCATCTTTAGGAACACCATAATTGCCAATCAGCGGATATGTCAGAGTTAGTATTTGAGACTTGTAAGAGGGATCTGTGAGAGCCTCTGGATAACCCACCATTCCGGTCTGGAAAACTGAGGACACACAATACATGACTTAGTAATTTACTTAATATTTTACAGTAATTGCAAGGGCATTAGATGTTATGTTTTTATTTTTTCCCATATTTTTAGAATACGCACAGGGTGCCCATTAAGCTTCATCTTTAATAAATAAATATCTTGGATAAATATACAATATCAAAAAATGAAAAGAAAAAAAATATCAGAAAAGGGGGGGAAAATTATACCCGTCAAACTTTTTAAAACACCTACTTATTCTTATATTCACATTTTCCACATTTATTTTATATGGAGAACATTGAGAACTAGGAGGGAAACTTAAAAGGGACACTTAAAATTATGGCATGCACTTCCTTTTAATATCAGAAATGCATCATCCCTGGATTACTTTAAAAAGTTGATCAAGACGCATTTACTTAAGGTTGCGGTTAATTCTTGTATTGCTCTTTTTGTGTTTTAGTTTTACTATAGCGCTTTGGGTTTAAGAAAAGCACATTACAAATAAAATGCATTATTATTATTATGAAGAAACATTTTAATTCAAAAAAATCAAACATGTATAATATATATAGTCATGGTAAAAGCTATATATATATATATATTTTAACATATATAAAAATATATATATATATATATATATATATATATATATATATATATATATATAAATATATATATAAAAATAGGAAATGCACATGTTAGTAGCAGAATGGGATGAAATTCCAAATAAATATTTTGGAATATTTAGATATTTTTTGTATCATGTCAATTTCCCAGCATAAGTGATTTACAGTGATTATGCAGTTACTTTATAGATACAGACCAGTTTTACCCATTATAGCAAATACTACTCAAATTTAAATCTGTAGAAAAAAACCTCTAAATTTGGGGGAGAAAATACATCTTTTCTGACACATACAAAAAGTGTTGCTGAGAATAAAAGTGTCCGTGAAAATTCTATTAAACCCTGTTTGACTTTGCTAAACTATTTTTTTTAAACAGTAAGGAAACATTTGCTGACTGTTTTTTATATTTATAAACTTTAATTAATGATGACTACAGCTAACTGTAGACATAAAACTTTTTTTTTTTTTTTTTTTTAAGTATATGGCAAGACAAATGTTCACTTATTTTTGAAGATTTATGACGCTAAACCACAAAATATACCCTATATATTCATGTCACTGAGCCAAGAATGAATCTAAAACGATGTCTGGGATGTCAGGAATGTGTCACACATGCCCTAGGAAGTGGCTACTGGCGAGTGTTCACTTTTAAACGTTTAGCGGGAAATCAGACACGTGTAACTTCCTGAAATTCAGTTACACATTTATTAATCACGCTTTCCGGTTAGAGAAAACAGAACAAGTGTGTGATAAGGAGCAGTGGCAGAAAACAGGGCTGAGGGACAGATATTTCCAGTAACGTTACATTTTCTTTGATTTCACTTACCAACTTCACCAGACACTGAGGATACGGCACCGAACAGACGGCCTTTAAATGTTGTCCCGTCCTCCAATACTAAAGATGCCATTTTCAGCAACATGACTTAGTACTTCTAAACGCAAACAGAATCTAGCGCTTAAAAGTATGTGAACCGAACTGGTTGCGTTGCACGTGCGTTTTTCCTTTCCCCCGAAGCTCCACGTGAAAACCACGCTGCTCAATGTGACGTTCACCCGAACGCGGATTAAATATAAGCGATCTCAGATATCGCTATCTAGGCCAAATATCATGCAGTCCTGATGTAGAAGCTCACTGGCCGATTGCGATGTTTTAAGTGGGTTTCAGCCAGACGAGCTCTGGTTAGTCGAGAGAAATCCACGCTCTGCTCCAGCCACAGCAGTGTGGAGCCGTGGGTGTGAACTTCCATCTGGTTTTATATTAGCGTGGAAAATCACTGCGCGTCATCACGTCAGAGAGGAGGGGGAAGAGGCCTGCTCTAGGCTTCATTCACAAAAATGCTTTCTTTTTCATTTTCTTGACATTTTTGTTTAAAAAAAAAAATAATAATAAATGACAAAAAGAATATGTATCTAGTGTGTTTTAACCTGTGTGTAAGTCTCACAACATAGGATACCCCAAAATAGAAAGAAGAAATTATAGTGTATATTTATAACCACACTAGTGAAAATCAGAACGAGTTATAAAGATTTAATGCCACCTCCAGATCCACTGGTATTCTCAGTTAAACGAATTTCACCCAAAGGTGAAAATGTACTCACCTTCAGGCCGTCCAAGATGAAGAAGAGTTTGTTTCTTCATCTGAACAGATTTGGAGAAATGTAGTATTACATCATTTGCTCACTAATGGATCGTCTGCAGTGAACGGGATGCTGTCATAATGAGAGTCTGATAAAAACATCACAATAATCCACAGGTAATACACACGACTCCAGTCCTTTGAGAACTGTTGTGTGTTTGTAAGAAACAAATCTATTATTAAGACATCCTTCCAAACTTCTAATCTTTGCTCCCGGCTAAAATTATGAGGCCTCCATCCATAATATTGCTTTCTCCAGTGAAAAAGTCATCTTGTCTGAATCAGGAGAGAAATCTGCACAGATCAGACACCATTTACAAGTGAAAATAGTGCACAATTCTAAACAAATACTGTATGTTGGTGGGTTTTAATGTGAGAGGACATGCAACTTTTCATTTCACAAAACTATTTGTGAATTGATGGACTGGAGTCATGTGGATTACTGGTTTATTGTGATGTTTTTATCATCTGTTTGATCTCTCATTTTGACGGCACCCATTCACTGCAGAGGATCCACTGGTGAGTGATCCAAGTGTAAGGCTACATTTCTCTAAATTTGTTACGATGAATAAACAAACTCATCTACATCTTGGATGGTGTAAACTTGGAAAAAGTACATTTTCTGAAAAATTTCATTTTTGGGTGAACTATTCCTTTAAACTGAGCAAAAATGAATATATTACAGACTATGTAACACACAAATGTGTATGTATATACGTATGAAACAAAAATTTGAATATTTTGAATTTGCTATTGAATTTGAGAAGACAAATGAACCCCAGAGAGAGAGAGAGAGAGAGGGGGGGGGGGAAATGAATTTATTCACAGTTCTGTCATTATTTAACACAGGTATACTTGAGTAGACTGATATTACTCATACATTTAAGATCACTGGTGATTTACACTGTTTTTTGCTAGTTGTAATAGATAAGAGTGGTTTGTGGATCACTGACACTGTCATTTCGTTGGCGCTGAGGCTTTTTGTAGCTGATAATGGGTACAGGATCCCCCCTGAAGTGATCCATCAGATCCATGCCACCAATGAAGTTCACAAAGATGATGCCCAGTTTGGCAGGCATGAGACTGCAAGAACAGGTCAAGGTAATATTGTGGTTAAATTAGATCTTGTTCATCGGTTTTGTGCAATATTGAAACTACTGAGATGTATTCAATTTAATACAATTAATTACGTAACCATTAAATGTTGATTAATCAACTGAATTTAAATCTACATTAACAAGCATTTAGAGGGCTAAAATACCTCTTAAGTGCCACCAAGAAATGTAGACTTGAGGGTAACAGCAAATACATCTTCTCCTGTAGTATTGCATCCACAATTTGTTTTGCGACATATCTCTGATCCAAGATTGGAAGAAAGGATGGTCTCCTTAGCAAAGGTAGAATATCAAGGTTACTGCATCACAAAGAGCACACATTTCTAATGAGCTTTCGTATATGGAAACTGTATTGACTTACTTTGTTTGACATCCCCTAAACATTTTGGTATTTATTAGATAGGGACACACTATTGTTGTTTTGATTCCTTCCTTTTTAAGGACAAGCAGCTCCAGTGCAACAGATTCTGCAAAGCTCACTGCTGCAGACTTGCTTGCACAATAGTCTGTGGATAAAATGTGTTAAGCAATCCGAATCCATTTTTAAATTGTATCCTAATTTAATACTGAATTTAGGACATTGCACATTCATGATTTAGTGTTGCACAGTGACAGTGTCTCTGAAATCCCTTTATAAATGTACCTGCAAGGGCGTTCATTGCAAACAACCCTCCATGGCATGCCACACAGACCAGATGCCCATGGTTTCGTTGCAACATAGCTGGGAGAAATGCCTTGTAAGTCTGTGAATGCACATATCAGGAAGTTTTAAGATAACAGTAAGCTCACTGTTCCCATAACATAAAAACAGAGGTATAAGGAATGTACACTGTGAAGAAAACACTGAATTACTTTTCCTTACCCAGAAATGAGCAGCAACATTTACCCTTAGTGTTCTATCCACCAGATTGTCAGGGGCGTCAACAAAAGTGTATTTGCCTGTTACCATGCCTGCATTGTTCACCAAAATTGACACATCTCCAACCTCCCTTTTAACCTGTCGAAATGTTTTTAGTACATGAAAATGTCTGGAAGGACACCTTCTTACTCACCCCTCATAAAAATGTATATTTGTAATGTAATATAAAATATAGATGTCATTTATATCTGTAGCTCATAGTTGCAATGCTGGCAATTATTGATTTAATAATTATTTACCAGTTCAGCAACTTTGTAGACCTCACTTCTTCTGCTGCAGTCGCAGGTATAGGCATACACACGCACATCCAATACTTGCTTTAATTCTTTGGCTGTCTTGTCCAGTGCATCTGAGTTGATATCCCATAAGACTAATGTTGCTCCATGGTGGCCAAGTTCTTTGGCAATCAGCTTTCCAATCCCATTTGCAGCTCCAGTCACCAATACTATCTCTCCCTCAACATCTTTCTTGCAATGTGGAATAAACAGTCGAACAAAGGCTTCAAAAAAGTAAAAGACCGCTCCAACAATGAGCTCAAAAATGTCTTTTATGAACCAGAGGTTGTGCAGTACCCTCTCAAAGCTCTGAATAACCTGGTTATGCATGTCTCTGGTCTAGTTGGCACAGAAACTAATTTATTCCTCCTTCTGTGTTTTCACATAGCTGTTTTGGTGGTTCTACTCCTTGAACATGTTTCAGTAAGTTTGGATCTCAGGTACAGCTTGTTCCAGTGGTTCTGTATGTGTCAGAGAGCCCCATCTGTTAGTTTCCAGTCACAATGCTGTTTGTTTGACCTGTCACCTAGAGTACATTAGTGTAGTTAATTTTAGATGTTGCTATTGCAGCATGTGGCCACAGTTTTATCAGTCATTCTTGAGAAGTGGGACAAAACAGGGTGCAAAATTAAAAAAAATAAAACCTTGTAATTGTAGGTTTTTGTAATTGTTTAATTGTAAAACCATGGTTAATTTTTGTAAATCAAAATATATGTGCGTGTATACACAAAAAGAATCAATTTACAACACTATATGGTGTTACCATATATATAGTACACTATATGGTACAAATACTATCCTAACTAACTCCTGCAATGGAAAGGGGATGTAGCTCAGTGGTAGAGCGCATGCTTTGCATGTATGAGGCCCCGGGTTCAATCCCCGGCATCTCCAGAGATTTTTTTATTATATTCATTGTATTATAGCATTATTAAACACTGTCGTCATAAAGTACTTTTGATCAAAAAATAACATTTTTGAAAAAAGAACTGCAGTAAACTAATTCAAACGCGTCTCGTGTCGTTCTACGTAACTACGTCATACGTTCTTAACTTGGCGACGGTAACCAGGGAGAAAGCTATGTTTACCAAGATGTCTGCAGCCTGACAACTATTACCCATAACATAGCTATATCAAGAAATACGTCCGTATAACTCAGCCGAATCTTTTATAAAAGTGAAGCATGCAGCTAAAGTATCTGAAGACTCTTCTAACTCCTCAGGTTAATATTTTTACCACGTTATTTAGCGACGCTAGCTAACTAACGTTAGCTCTTGGCAGTCCGCTATCTGTATGCATTACAACGCTTCTTAGTTTAGCAACACTAGGACGCTTAAGTATCTTGCCAGATTTCAGCTTATGCATTTACGTTGTGCAAACAAACGGTAGAAATCACATTCCGAATGTCATTCATATCTCAGCAAGCGACTCTGCACTGGACGTCGTGTTGTCTCTAATGTCTTTTCTTTAGGATGGAGCTGCTAAAGTCACCTGTATGGCTTGGGCTCCTAACAATTCAAAGTTTGCAGTGTGCACTATTGATAGAGTGGTTATACTGTATGATGAGCAAGGAGAGAAACAAGACAGATTTACTACAAAACCTGCTGACCCCAAAGTAAGTTATCAGTGAATTATTGAAATGATATTAAATCTTCAAAATAAATGCTGTGGTCTACCAATGCTACATGTCATTTCTTAGCTCATCAAGAAAAGGTATGATTTTGTAATTTGTTGCAGTATGGAAAGAAAACCTAAGTCCATGGCATTTTCGCCCGATTCAACCAAGATAGCAGTGGCTCAAACAGACAACATTATATTTGTTTACAAAATTGGGGAGGAGTGGTAAGTATCTCAGAATGCTTACATACAAGCATAATTTGCATTATTGTATCATTTTATATTTGTAATATGATGTTTTATGTCCCAGGGGAGATAAAAAGGTTATTTGCAACAAATTTATTCAAACAGTAAGTATTTTGATGATAAATATGATACTTCATTAGGCAGTAGTGCCATATATTGTGTGTATTAACTTTTCTTTTTTGTTCTCTAGAGTGCTGTAACATGTCTGGTTTGGCCATCAGAGCATACAATAATATTTGGACTAGCAGAGGGGAAAGTAAGTGTGGCACATTTTCTATGCTTTAAACCTTAAGCTGAATTTTCAATTTTGTGAGTGTTTTCTTATGTTAAATGCAGGTTCGACAAGCCAATACAAAAACAAGCAAGTCCTCCACGATCTACGGAACGGACTCTTACGTTGTCTCACTAACAACAAAGTATGTATTTAAAATC